TCTCACTGGTCATCCCCAAAGCCAACATCAGAATATTATTTCATTTGGGCAACAACAGTTTAGCTAGATTCACAGTTGAGACTCTTCTCGTTCCAGTAGTGTATAACATTCGGTTATTCACACATGTTTAAAAACCGTACTATGCCATTGTTTGAGATTGTGGGAGGAGTACCCACTGGCTCCAGGCCATCTATAAATCACTGCTAGGCAAATTCCCGCCTTATCTTAGCTCATTGGTCACCATAGCAGCACCCACCCGTAGTCTGCGCTCCAGCAGGTATATCTCACTGGTCATTCCCAAAGCCAACACCTCCTTTGGCCGCCATTCCTTCCAGTTCTCTGCTGCCAATGACTGGAACGAATTGCAAAAATCTCTGAAGCTGGAGACTCTTATCTCCCTCACTAACTTTAAGCATCAGTTGTCAGAGCACCTTACCGATCACTGCACCTGTACACAGCCCATCTGAAATTAGCTCACCCAACTACCTCATCCCTATATTGTTATTTATTTTGCTCATTTGCACCCCAGTATCTCTATTTGCACATAATCTCTTTCACATCTATCATTCCATTGTTAATACTAATTGTAATTATTTTGCACTATAGCCTATGTATTGCCTTACCTCCATAACTTGCTACATTTGCACACAGTATATATATTTTCTGTTGTATTTTTTGACTTTATGTTTTGTTTTACCCCATATGTAACTCTGTGTTGTTGTTTTTAATCACACTGCTTTGCTTTATCTTGGCCAGGTCGCAGTTGTAAATGAGAACTTGTTCTCAACTGGCTTACCTGGTTAAATAAAGGTGAAATAAAATAAAAAATAAAAACCAAGAGAAGAAACAGCCTAGCATTGGATGGCACCCTGTCCTCAATAATGACCATAAAGATGGCCAATCTGGAGCCCTGCTTCAAATGGGAGCCCCCCTCCGATATCATCAAGGCCTCCAAGAAGGCCAGAGGCCAGTATAACCATGCCGACAGATCATAGACAAGAGGCTCATTTGAGATGAGCCAGGTCTGCGCAGAATCGATCACCGGCAATCACCGCCCAATGCATGCTGGTTAGATTTGTGTCCGACTTGATCCCGACTTTCTCTGACGTCATGCACACATGGGCAACGATAACCTCATGAGATCAAGGCGGCCGCAGTTCTGAGACGCAGGCAGTGCAATTGCTTTTCAACGACTGCAGGACCCAGGCGGACCCAGGACAAAATCTCACTCCAAGGTTTTTTGAAAAGTTGGCAGGTATGTGGTAGTGAATGTGTGTCACTCAATGAATCAGACAGCTCAGTTGAAACTGTGTTTCCCTCATTAGCTCCTACCGTGCCCTATTAATATGTCTGTGACTCTTTGTAGGCTTTCACTCTGTTGCTGACTGTCTCTCCATTCTAGAATAAAACAGAGGACTGCTTGGCAGGGAAGTGAGATGCAGAAAAAGTCTGGCACCCAATCAACTCTAAGACCATACTCTACTCACAACCATGTTCTCTCTTCCTTCTTGATTTCCCCTGCTATCTCTCACTCCCTCTCTATTCCCATGTCTCTCTGTCTCTGCCCCCCGTCTCTCTCTCTCTCTCTCCCTTACTTTGTTTTTTCTCCCTCCCTTTCTCTCCCTCCCCCTCCATAGCATTGGCAGCACCTGACCACCCAAGTGTGGGGTTGACACCACATGGAGTACCTGTCTCCTGAGTCTGAGGCTAAACTGCTGCCCCCTAACGGTCAGACCATGAACACCTTGCTGTATGAGAGCATCATCTGGCCATCTGAGCCCCACAGAATCCACCCCCTCCCCTCCAAATCAGAGCACTCTGTCTCAAACACACACTCATGGCCTTAGTCACATACACACACACACACACACACACACACACACACAAACAAACACATGCATACATACACACACCCTGCCCTGGCTGAGCCAGAAATGCACACACAGGCTACTCCAAAACAGATCAACCACACACACACATACATACACTGCACACACTAAACAGCCCAATGGACCAAAGAAAAGACGGGACAAGAGCTCAAATACACAATCAATTCAGGCTGACATTCCTTCTGCTTTTCTCTATCTCCTTCTCATCCTTATTTTTCTCTCTTTCCCTCCTCTGCTCTGTGGCTCAGTGCTGTCTGGTCCTGTCTCGTTCTGTGATTGTGTTGTGATGTCGAACGCATTAGCGATATCTTGCCTCCCCATCTCTTCTCTCTATTGCCACTGTGTCTCTCCCTTTGTCCTCTCTCCTGTGTGTGCGTGTTTGTGTCTTTCCTTCCTGTGTAATGGATTTTGTGGGGCCGTTCAGCACTGCTGACCCAGTCTTTGTATTAACCCAACATTCCCTGTTGAGGGTGCTGAATTAATGTTACTGATCCCAAACTGATAAACATTTATCTGTCTACTGTAGATGTGACCATTTATGTGTGTGAGCGTGTGTCTGTGTGTGTGTGTGCATGCGACTTAGGAAGAGATGTACTGTTCTCTGTGTGTTTTGTCTGTGTTCGCCTTTGACTCTGAGCTCAACCTGTCACCCGACCGCCATTTTCTATCCTCCCTCATCTATCAAACTGTAAAGAAACTTCCCTCTGTAAAATAAAATTTAAAAAAACACCACCACTTCCTGTGTAACTAACTAATATGTGTCCTGAGTATTGTATGAGTGTGAATCATTGTTAATATTGGGGAGGGGATCGTTATCAATATTTCCACCTTGTGTGAGAGAGAGAAGCCTACCGATTTGAGAAAGAAAGAGAGGGAGTGGGAGGGAGGGAGCGAGAGAGCAATGTGTCTTAATGCCAAGCCAAGTGAGAAGCAATAAAAGACAAGATGGAAACGCTTTATTCTTTAGTCTCTTTATTTAAATAAGCAATATTATGTATTTATACAACGGGTGGGTCTAATCCTGAATGCTGATTGGTTAAAACCGCATCCCAGCTGGTGTCTATTCCACAAGTTACCACCGGCTAAATCTATGACGTTAAAATGCCTATTTACTCTGTTCCATCTGACTGCACAATCCACGGTCTCATCAGCCCAGCCAGGCACTTTATAAACTTGATCTCCACAGTAAAAAGCATCTAGACATTTTCTCACATTTCTTTTAGACTAACATTTAGTTTTCAACAGATTTGTATAAACCTTGCTGTCTGTCTCTGCGACATTTGCAACATTGTTCAATATTCAAATTCGATCTCCAGCTGTCCCATATTAATGAACGTGTCGGGAGTCGGGACGAGACAGACAGGCAGGCAGCGTTTCTCAGCCAGTCGAAATCATGAATCAGCCGGCATCATTTTCATGGATATATACAAATAAATTTAAATTTAAAAAATTTAAAACGACGCGAAGTGCAGCTAGTTTGCAGTCTTTTCAGTTCAGTTTGAAGTGATTGTGTTAGCTGTGTTGTTGGCTAGCTCCTCAGAACAACAGTGTCCTGACGAGTGAGCACATTTTCTATGCTAGGCGAAATCGCGCCTCCTTAGCTCATTGTTATGGATGTATCCAAATTAATGTCACTAGAAAACACCTTAAACAAATGCAAATGTGGCTATTTTGCTTTTATTCTTGCTGCACTTTTTGACGTGACTGTAAGTTAGCCGTAGTTGGCTAGCTAGCAAGCAAGGGATACGAACGTTGCCAGTGAGTATGGCAATGGAACATTTAGAACGAACGACTGGGTCACGTCCATAGATACAGAACAAAAAGACTAAACGACCTGCAACCGAACCGATAGAACGAACAACCAGCCGGCTTGGGTAGCAACCCTAGATTTGTGCTGGGACTTTATCTTGTGGAAGGATGAAATAGAATGAACAAATTAATGAAAATATCTCAATCATTATTTGAATATGTTGGTAACCCGTTGTATAAAAGTGATAATGCCCTCGAAGCATTCTCACTTGGAGGATATATTGGCACGGTTTGCTGGCCCTCGACTTTGTCTCGGGCCTAACAACACCTGTGCCAATATATCCTCCAAACACCGGCTTCTCAGGCATTATCACTTAAACAAATATATGTATTTGCAGATACTCTCAAAGCTCAATCACCTCTGACGGTTACTATCAGAGAGTCACACATTCATAGCCTGATCTCAGATCGTTTTGGTCTTGAACCAACTACATGTCATGTATAGTCAGGAGAGATGTTTAAAGGACATATAGATTTGATCTGGGACCAGGCTAACACATTTACATGAACATTTTAGTCATTTAGGAGACACTCATCTCCAGAGCAACTGCAGGAGCAATTTGGGTAAAGTGCCTTGCTCAAGGACACATCAACAGATTTTTCACCTAGTTGTCTCGGGGATTCGAACACTCTTAAATGCTAGGCTATCTTCTGACCCTAGGACCTGACATTCATTGAGTACAAGGTTTTGCATTATAGAAAGTCCCATCCCAAACATACAGGTATAGATTAGGAAAATGTGTAAATAATGATGAAATGTGTAGGATATTATTTTGGAGAGAATGAAGAGTGCTGCTATGCTTCAGAAGTGTATTCAATCATACAAGTGCTGAATATGAAACAGATACACAATATCACCCAATAGATCTGGTCACTTTACTGCCGTTTATTTAGCCATGTACTCAGAAACAAGAATTGTTTACTTTAAGATATTGGAGTGTGTGGTCAATCAATTCTAGAAAATAAAAAATTGTATTCAATGTATTCAAAGTAGATTAACTTAGATCAGAAAATGAACAATTTAGTAAAATGATCAAAATAAATATTAACATGAATTATTCACATCCTCTTTAGAAAAATACAGAAAGATACAGAAAAATTAGCTCTATAACAGCGTTCAAACTAGGGGAGAACTATACTCCCTTTGGCATTGATTTGACCCTGAAATACATGATGATGTATAGATGTGGGTCAAGGCTATGTGATGCCAACCTGGACTCAGTGGTAGAACATTTAAATCTGTCTCCGGTCATTTAGTATGATATGTTATGAATTCCAATTTGTTGTGGCTAACGTTAGCTAGATGGCTAGGTGGATAACGTTAGCTAGGCTAGGGGTTAGGGGAAGGACTAGCTAAAATGCTAAGTTTTTGCAAAGTAGCTCAAATGAGGTAAGTAGCTGCAAAGTTGCTAATTAGCTAAAATGCTAAAGTTGTCCGTGATGTGATTTGAACACTCAACCTTTGGATAACAGAGTGAATATCTGGTATTCATACTCATTCAGTGGATATTGAACTACCATGTTTCTGATTTAGGAAAAATGATTTACATAATTTGCAACATCATTATGATTACATCATCAGCAGTGAGGCTTAAGAAATAACCCATTGTATGTTTTCCCCTTGGCATTTTCCCCTTGGCTAAAGCTAAAGTTATTCCAAAGGAGGAAGGTGGAGTGGAAGGGGAACAAAGTGACCCCTGTTGGTTACATCTTGGTAGTGCAGGTCAAGTCCTAATAGAAGAGGAGATAGTGTCAGAAGGAACATAACATACGATTCTGTGACCATATGAATTAATTAATTAATACATTTCCTGGTATCGCTTAAGAAATAATAATAATAAGAAAGTAGCTCATAAAAAAAATATATGTATAGTCTGCTCCACTCACCAGAGCATACTCGTAGATGATGGGTACGTCTGAGGCCCCATGCAGCCGGAGGCTGTGTAGCACCGCGTCATGAATCGTAGGGAACAGACGGCTCTTAGGAATGGACTCAGAGAAGAAGCCTGCAATCGATAACTGCTCCACCACACAGACTGGAGGAAAGACAAACCAGGTTAGACAATACACACGTGAACCACAAACACAAACAAGCTAAGGCCAGTGTGACGAGCCTTAATTACCACACACACCAGTGGCGGTCGGTGCCGTTTAAGATGAGGGAGGACGATTTTTTTTTTTTATGAGCATGGCCTTAGAGTATTTCTACTACAGCATATTGGATGATTGTCATTCATATTCCATTCACCCAGCTCAACGTAACATCGGTAGGTTTAGGCTACTACATGATACTCAAATTGTCCCTATATCCATCATGAGCTTGCTACAACCTAGCATTTGAATGAAAGTTTACAATGTAGGTGCACAGGTTGAGATACATTTTTGTAATCAAGGTGAAAGACATTGACATATTCAACACCGACTTGCACACTCTTGTCTGCATCTAGCTGATTTAGAGTGTATTCATTAATCCAACAGTTGCAAATGATAGTTTCTATTTGACAAATTCAGTTATGTTTATCCCTGTTTCATTCCGTTTACTTCCGTTTAAGAATTATTATTTTTTTCAGAATCGGCGGAATGAATACACCCCTGATCAAAAGCAAACACATTTAACTTTCATATCAGCCACATACAAACAGCATGATCCCTTTGATTGTTGTATAATTCCTTCTCGCATCTACGCGCTTTCCTCCACTCACCTTTTCCCTTCGCTTGTGGACTTCAGTAACAACACATCAGCTCTATGTGACCATGCGAAAAAAAAAAAAACCTTTCCAAGTCAAATCTTAATATAATAACCGCTAACCGCAACACACAGCCTACATCGTTGTCACCATATTAACATCATAGTCAACATAGCTGCTAGATCTAATGCGTTATTAAACCCACTACAATCATGCAGTACAGTGTACAGTCAGAGGCAAGCAGTTGAGCAGTTACACCGGTGGGTCCTGGTGGCAATAAATTAATAAAACCAAAAGCTTACCTTGACTCGGAAGAGTTTCCGTGTTGGATAGCCATAGCCAGCTAGCTAACATAGCATCCCTCTCTGTTTGAGTTTGAGCCAGGTGTTTGAATAGGCTAAACTAGCTAGCTGCATTCTCTAGCTAAGTAAGTGAAAGTTAAAGTAAAAAAAAAAGTCTAAACCTCTCTCTCTCTCTTGCATCTCCTTCATTTTTAAAGAAAAATTAATTAGTTCAAAACTGTACAACTATTGTCTTTCTCGCTCCTTGAGTCAACTACTCACCACATGTTATGCACTGCTAGCTAGCTGTAGTTATGCTTTCAGTACTAGATTCATAAATACAATAATAAATAAAAATAAATTAATTCTCTGGACAACATGTCAGTTCATACTGCAAGAGCTATGATAGGTTGGAGGACGTACTCCGGAAGTTGTCATAATTACTGGAAGTGGGTGAGAACCACAAGCCTCCTAGGTTTTGTATTGAAGTCAATGTACCCAGAGGAGGATGGAAACTAGCTGTCCTCCGGCTAAACAATGGTGTTACCCTAGAGAGTGCTGTTGAGGCTACTGTAGACCATTGCAAAAAAGTGTGTTTTAATCAATTATTTAGTGACGTGAATATATTAAGTATAGTTGTATATAAAAAGGCTAACTTTTTTAATGTTTCACTATTTCTATTTTTCAGAAATTCACTGAAGAGGATGGTCCTCCCCTTTCTCCTCTGAGGAGCCTCCACTGACATATACTCACCTTGGCATCCAGTTATATAGATGTCAATGTCAATCTCTCTACAGTTGAGGAATATCTGCAGAGAAAGTGAGAGACAGAGAAGGTCAAATAAGAAGGCCATGTTTCTCTCAGGGACTGTTTTTGTTACACCAGTTTGGATTTATCTTGTTTTTCTCTTCCATCCCTCTTTATCTCCACCTCCTCTTTCTATCAGTGCCTCTTCCTGACATACAAAAATATATAATTTAGGCCTGCCTACTCACAGAACACAATACCTTTGTTTGTTTGGAGAACAAGGCCACACAGGAGTGCGACTGCAAACAATGTTACAAAAGAAGACTGGATGCAAAGAAACTATTAATAACACATTTCTGAAAACATCTGGTAACCTAACCTCTCTTTGTCTCTCTCCCTCTCACTTTCCCTGTCTCTCCATCCCCTCTGTGCTCAAACTCCCCTCTCCGTCTTTCATACTTATATCCTCCTTCATCCCCATCGTTCAAAAACACACACACACACACTACCCCCACATACACATACATTTTTCAGCGTCTTCACAGTGGCCATGTCAACAAAGCTGGCTGTGGATAGGTCCAGGATGATGGTGTGTGTGTCATTGACAGAGCTCTTCCCCATCTCTCCTTCTCCTCCGGTATTGGACATCTGGGTTATGTGATCATCGCCATGAAAACCAGTCTCAGAGCCCCGGTCGAACCCAGTACCTTGCTGCTCAAATGCCCAGTTCACCTTAGATTGACAGAGAGACAGAGCTTCAATCTTTACACTGCTATGATAAAATACACATATTTCAAAAAGCATTATGGGCTAGCCTAGGTGCACCTGGAGGTTTTACTGACTGTAGGCTATAACTAGAGTCCAGAGTGTTTCCTGTAGTACTAGTGGGGTTCCTTAGCTGAAAAATCTGGAACAATGCATTTTGTGCTAAAAGCACCAAATTTAGCACAGAGGTAAATTTATGTAACCTGAAAAGATTTCGATATGGAGCCTCCCTAGATTTGGCCCCTGGCGTGGCAGACATTTTTTTAAATAGCCGCATATGGTAACACTATTTTACAATTCAGAAGGACTATTTTGAGATAAACACACAGAATTTGGCGCAAAGGTAGATTTAAGTAGCCTGAAAAAATATTTAGATATGGAGACACCACAGATTTGGTCCCTGGGGGCTGTGGCGACTGTCGGGAATATAATGTTAGAGTTCTGAAGGCATTTTTTTGATAAACACACCAAATTTGGCACAGAGGAAGATGCATGTACCCTGAAAATATTTAGATATAGACCGTGTCAGCCATTTTACTAAAAGGCTGCAGACTGTACCACTACTTTACAAACCTTTAATCTACAAAAATGTATTGCCTATACTTCTTTGATTTATAGATTTCTGGCCTATACTTCTTGCCCTGGATCACCTGAAAACCAAAAGTTGTAACAGTAACACAGTATATTACAGTAGGCCAAATTGTAGAAAAAATTATATTTTCTGGGATGAGTGTAGCGGAGGTGAGTTAAAACACACTCTAGTGATGAGGTAGCTCTGCCTGCGACATAAAACCACCCTTGGCCAAAGACAGAATATTATTTTAGTCTAATGCTTAAGACGTTTGGTCCCGGAGCGGGAGACTAGGGTTCACATCGTACCACATGAGCATGTAACAAATGGCTACTAAAGCTATTTTGGAAATTATTCTAGTCATTGAGGTGGAATAGTTCACAATTGCTGTGGACAATTATCTCAGGCTGTGTTTCAGTCAGAACTGTGCCTGTCAAACATAATATTCTAATTTCAACCAGTTTCATTAACAAAAGTATGACACTAGTTTTTCTAATTTTAGCTGAATATAATGTTCCGCAATTGGAAGAAATTAAAGGCTTTAGTATGACATGGATTTTGGTGTTCTGTTGATTTGAGACAGCATCAGGTGAAGGTGTATTTCCTGCACCCTCAGGGTCCTCTAAAATCATCATTAAAACAATAATTACTGGGTCAGTAGAGCCATACACAGAACAGAAAGAGATGAGTACAGCATCACAAGCCCCGACACTAACAAGCTAATTTACTAGTGGCTACTAAGCAAAATAAACTCATGGCCTTGGACCTGATCTGAATCCCTGTATTCAAGTGTATGCTGTACATCAACCAATGCCATATATCAACCAATGGCAGGCATGTTACAAAAACATTAGGAGATGTACACAATGGTCTCTTCACTATAACATACAGTAAAACATCTAGCCTAATTGGGGTCTAATGCATTTTGTAAGACGGCTGCCACAAAGACACAGGGAGCCACATTACCCTCGAGCATACTCAGTCCATGTTTATGCGTGCGGACAAGCACCTAGAGACTTGTCTACCCCCTACACACACCCCCGTGCACACACATACCAGAATGAATCCAACAATATGACACTGGTCAGGAATGGGAGGGTCCAAGACGTGCCACCAGCCCAAGCCACCCGGGCCGCCAGCCCAAGCCACCCGGGCCACCAGCCCAAGCCACCCGGGCCGTCTAGCCCATCCACCCGCCACAAGGGTGACCAGTAGATCAGCAAGACTGCACAGCCAGCCTGTCAATCATTTAACTCTCTCCCCAACACTATTTTCTTCACACCTTTTAAAAAATTATTTCCCAAGGGAAAGGTTTAGAAACAAATGTCAAAAACGAAACAAAAAAACACATGTATACAAAGAAACAGCACAGCCTCCATAGAATCCATCTCATAATAATAATAATGTGGATCTCTCTTTACTTGCACACAATTTAGCTGGGTTGCCCCACCTGCATGCCCCAAGGAATCTACCTATGTGCCACATTTTGTACGTTTATCTATTGTATTACCAACAGTGGCCATTGTGTAAAATGCCATGACCCCCAGGGGCCAAATATGTGGCAGCTCAATATCTAAGTCTTTTCAGGGTCCATAAATCTATCTCTGTCACAAATGTGGAGCCTTTATCTTAAAATAGTCCTTCTGAATTGTAAAATAATGGTACTGCTGGTGGCAATTTTTAAAGATGGCTGTCACGGCCCCCAGGGGCTAAATATGTGGTGGCTCAATCTCTACATTTTTCCAGAGTACATTAATCTACCTCTGTGCTAAATGTGGTGCGTTTATCTCAAAAAATGCCATCAGAATTGTAACATTGTTTTACCGACAGTGGCCATTTTGTAAGATGGTCACCATGGCCCCCAGGTGCCAAATGTGTGGTGGCTCCGGATGTAAATATGTTCATGCTACATAAATCTACCTATGTGCCAGATTTGGTGTGTTTATCTCAAAACAATCAGTCTTAAATGTAAAATAATGTTACCGTATGCTGACATTTTGAAAAATGTCTGCCACACCCCCAGGGGCCAAATCCGGGGTGGGTCCATATCTGAATCTTTTCAGGGTACATACATCTACATATGTGCCAAATCTGCTGCTTTAATCACAAAATGCACGATTGTTTTGCTTAGATGCCTCACTATATTGTAGTACTTCACACTACACACCTGTCCGTTGGTGGGTTTGTCAACTAGGGAAATGGCCATCTGGTTCCCTTTCAGGTCTGGGGAACCATTCTCTACATCCCCCTTGTCCTCTGGATGGACTGTACTGTTGGGTAGGTATCCATTCACACCCTTCTGGGAAGGGAAGAGAAATAAAGTCACTAACAGTGTAATTTTTGTGTGTGTTTGTTAGACCTGTGTTTGACATCTGTGTGTCGCACCTGTTTCTTTGCCTCCTTTTTGGCTTTATTTTGTTCTTTTTTGTCTTTCCTCTTTTGTTCAGCGTCTCTTTTCTTCTTTTTCATCAGCAGCTTCCCAATGTCAATTCCACTCTGTGTAAGAAAATGAAATAGAGCGCTTGAGATAAAGAGAGTGATTGAGAGAGAGAAAGCAATTCAGAGAAAGAGGGCTATTGAGAGAATGACACACAAACACTAGTGATGCGTGGGTCAGCTGTTTGTTCACCCGCACCCACCTATAATTGCTAATAACCCATTTTCAACCATGGGTGTGTCAGAAATATTTGTGCTATGTTCACAGTGGGAATTATGAGCACAATAGGTGGCAATGGTACAAAAGGACTGGGTTTTGATGAATAAATAAATAATAAGTGTGACGAGGGCTTGGCCACTGGCCAAGCAACGTGTTTCATGGCCTAATGCTGTGTTCACGTGCTATCGGAGTTATCAGAAGCTCCTAGTTCCAGTGGGAAATTTCACTTGCATGACCCCAAATCCAAGTCAGAATTACAAGTTGGAAACTCAGATTTTTTTTTTTATATTTGAGTTGCCGAGTTGTGACGTTTCACGACTGACCTTTTACCCTTTCAACCAAAAGATGACAACAAATCAGTTTTCTTAGAATTACTTATCAATATAAATAAGCTAGTCTAACCATATTGTCAATGTTAAGCAAGCTAGCTCACTTAATTATTAGTAATTTTAGCAAGCTTATCAAGCTATCTAAAATCTTATTGGATGAAGAATTGTTCCGAGTTCAAAATCACTTGAAAACATTAATGTCAGACTTACGACTTCCCACGAGCACGTGAAGCCAGCCTAATACCGCATGCCATTGTCTGAAGTTAATTGACAGTCTTTGCGTTGTCATCAACTCTGAATATTCCTAGTAGAACCCTTCAACTGTATATATGTGCATATTTTTTCTTCAGATGAGTACTGATTTTGTATCTTATTATTACTGGAATGTTCAAAGTTCTCAACTGACATAAATGTATTGTGCATTTAAGTCATTTAGCAGACATTCTTATCCAGAGTGACTTACAGGAGCAATTAGGGTTACGTGCCTTGCTCATGAGCACATCGTCAGATTCTTCACCTAATTGGCTCGGGGTTTCGAACGCTCTTAACTGCTAGGCTACTTGCTTATAGTCTGTATGTAATATCAAGACTCTGGATGATTCATATCGAATATACTACAACTATACCATATCACCAAAATGTTCCAAAATTGAGATGTGGTTCTTCAGTTGAAGTGTTCCATTGTGGATTGATACTACAGTTTATTAAATAGCATAGGCCACGAGTAATAACAACTGTAAAAAATAATATAACATCCAGTGTTTTGTCACAGGTGTGACCAATATTGCCCTTGTAGTCAAGCAAGTTTCCAATTGGCTAATTGTACTGATCATATAACTACTGATGTGTGTATTTAAAGTAACTGCCCAGTGTTTCCAGATTTCTATGAAATATTACCTATAATTCAATATAATATGAGTGAAATCGTTTTCCTTCAGAATTGTTTTATGAAGTATGTTAAAAAGCAGCTTTCTGTGTTGGAATGGTGTTCGCATATACAGGTCATAAAAATGTGTGTGGGTGTCTACCGGTCATAAAAAATATGGAGTGGCTGTGGATCCAACTTTTTCGGGATCTTCAGCCCACAGACTAAAAGATCCAGTGCTTCCAAAAAGTGACAAGACATATTTTCCAGATGTCAAAGATATGTATTTTCCGGACTTTGAAAACATATTTTCTGGACGCTGAAATCAGGTGCATTTTAAGTACCGAATGAAAGGTGATAATACATATTTTCCAGATGTACAAAATATGTATTTTCCGGACGAAAGAGGACCCAAATGAGGATTGCTTGCTACAGAATATTTATTATTGCTCCCGTCTGTCACATGAACTTATGTTTGCTTTTTTAAAAGCTTTAAAACTGGCAGTGATGATGTTCAAAATAGTCTAGCCCACAGAATATACCAAAAGACCACTTCAACTACAATAACATTCTCAATAACGGTTACAGTTTTTGTTGTTGTTGCTATGACTGTGATTTGTTGTCTATCTACCTGTAAGTCGCTCTGGATAAAAGTGTATGTTTTTTAACATTTACATTTTGGTCATTCAGCAAACACTTGCAAAGCATGCTGGGTATTATTCTAATCAGCTCCGCCCCTAAACAAGAACACATTTGGTCGGTGTGGACCCGATCTAAATCTGAATGAATCATGGACATCTAGGCTAGGCTATGTTTCACAGGTCAATACAGTATAATGTCATTCAGAAGAGTGCAGTACAGTAGAGTTTAATTCAGCAGAGTACATTACAGTTTAATTCAGTAGAGTACATTACAGTAAAGTAGGGTACTTTACAGTACACTATACTTTTCTTTACTATACTGTACTGTACTATACTCAACTTTTCTTTACTGTACTGTAATGTACTATACTCTGCGGTGCTCTACTGTACTGTACTGTGCTGTCCAAACCTGTGAAACATAAATGGCTATGATTGGTTCAGATTTGGTCCAGACGTTGAAATCAAGGCCGGTCCGGACTACACAAAAAAAAGACCAAAGAAAAGACGTCCGGACCAAATCTGGACCAAAACACGACATCCAATAGACGCCGCTCTCAGTAAATGAGTACTGGGTTACAACCATCAAATTCACTAACAGGGCTTTGAATGCAAGGACTATTGAGCCCAATTAGTCTGTCATTAGCTCAGCAGCGTGTTAAGCATCAAGCTGAGTTTTAGCTAACATTTTTGTAAACAAGTCTAAGGCTAATGCTAAGTGACAGACCAATTGTCACAGTTGTTTTAAATGGGTTGTTCACATTTGTATTGTTTGTAAACATTTAAACAAAAGCCTACTATTCGTTATTTTGGGGGGTTATAATGGGGATGATAAGTAGTTCTATGCTCATGAGGTGTGTATATAGTATGAGTGATATTCTCCAATAATCAATGGGTTTACATTATATCCAAAATCTTTTCGACCAATCACGGATTGTGGCTTTAATACAAAACACAATATACTGTATAAGGTAGGGTCTAAAATAACTGCATTATTTGTTGAGAAAATATAATTGGCACTAAGGTTAAAAGAGTATATGAACATTGTTTCCAGAGAAAAGTGATATATTCTATGGTATCTGGAAGTGTGACCAGTCAGATTCAATGAAACCATCATGTTCTATGACTGAGTGGAATTTATTTGAATTGCACTTAATTAAATTCTACTTCCTGTCACTCAAATGCAAATTCTACATCCTGTGGGGTGTGGCTAATTCAATTCTAATTTCAACTCAATGGGAGTCAATTCCAAAAATCTGAATTGAGCATAACCTACTTTAGAGATTATTCATAATCTATAGTAGTAATTGTACACTTTACAATGTTTAGAAATATGAGGCTTAATATTGCCTAATTTGTTTTCCTTTCTTTTGCAGCACTGTTGAGAAACAGAATAGCATCCACTGTGCCAGGTTTCAGTCGGAGCGCCTACAGTTAGGCTCTAAAGCTAAGGCTGACACGTTAATGGCAGATAAAAATAATGAAAGAAAAAGCTCGATGTAGCCTATAGATTTATGGATTTTTTTAATGCATTGTTTTCTACTTATTCAATCCACCTGCCACCCACCCTTCATCCACACAATATTTCATTAAACCCACTAGCACTGCGAATATAATCATGGGTTATGAGTCAACCCGCACATCACTAACACACACACACGCGCACACACACACACACACACACACACACACACACACACACACACACACACACACACGCGTGCACACATACTACCTTCTCCTGCAATGCGTCCACGTATAGCTCAGCGTTGGTATAGTACATTGTGGTGGATGAACGGAAGATAGTGATACCTGGTATCTCTTTTGCCTGTGGGACAAACCAACACACAAACAGGGTGCTTCAATATATGGTCATCTAGCAACACCAGAGTTGTGGGGTCGATTCCAACTGTGTTCACATAACAAAAATGTGTGGTTGTCACTTTGGATAAAAGGGTCTGCTACGTAAATGGCATATATTACAGTACTGTATTGGCCAATGCAATTTTAGTAAAGCAGTGTGAACTCTGTATTGCATTGTGAAAGGCAAATACTTTATATGAACATGTGTTGTAATGTGAAACATATTTCTAGATGAAACACTGATTAGGTTTGGTGAAACAGGGTCTGTATGATTTTGTGTTGTAGTTGGTAATTGGAACAACTACCTTTTTGAGGATCTGTTTTGAGTTTTGTACTACAAGTTGTGAAAATGTACCACATACTTGTGAAAATTGCACCAAAGCAATAAAAAAAAACATGTAAACTCCTCCGTCTCACCTCCTCATATGTGTCTCTATCCAGGTAGAGCTCAGTCCCAGGAACATGCCCCAGGATAGAGTATCGCGGCCTGGGAGAGAGAGTGCGCACGAGAGAGAACAGATGTTATGAACTTTAAGAAGAAAGAGGAACACAATACTTTAGAACAGTGGTATTCAAAGTCTGAGTCGAGACCAGTGGGGTCAGTCAAAAAATTATAATAATACGAGTACAGATTTTTGTATGGGACAATATACAAACGTTTTTGAGAAAGATAATTAGAAGATGAAAAAAAATAGAGGTTATGTATTTACTGGTTTCTTTCATTTCGGTAAAAGATTAAAATGTAATGAAGGTTATTTGTTGATGTAAATATTTTCATGTACCGATTTTAAGGTTGTATCATCATATTTGGGGTGGGGTCCCTGTGAAATTCTTACTTAATCTCTCTTAAAACAAAACAAACACGTGTGCTCATGCACACACACACACACACACACACACACACACACACACACACACACACACACACACACACACACACACACAAACACACACACAAACACACTCAGACTCACAGTTGAGCTCTGAAGATGACAGTGAGCATAGCGAAGGCGATGGATGCAGCCAGGCCGATGTCCAGGTTCAGTAAAATAGTACACACCAGCGTTACCAACCACACCAGCTAGGGGACAGCAGAGACACAGGTAATCAATATGGGGAATACCCAGGTTTCCCAAACCCAATTTGAGTCATATACGTTAATCTCAAGTTAGGATGCAGGTCTTAGGACATAAATATGAAGTGTATAGATGTGTAGCTCTCACCAGGTCAACCTTATTGCTCTTCCAGAGGTCAGGAATGTCTTTAAACTGCACAAAAAGGCCTCTCAGGTTCACAAGCACTATACAGGCTAGGACAGCCTAGGGGACACACAAACACTCATCAGATCAGTGGTGTGGTGTTGTGTGTGTTTGGATGGAGGGCAGGTGATAGAGAGATATATACCTTGGGTAGCTCCTCAAACAGTGACCCCAGTTGCAGAATGAAGATCAGCACAAGTACTGAAGAAACCACCCCCACAAGCTGACAAAATGTATAAACACACACATCAGTTAGTTTGTACGTGTGTGTAAATATTAGCAGGTGGAGATACATGTATGTGCATGCGTGAGTGTATGTCTGTGTGTGTTACCTGTGTCTTGCCCCCAGTGCTATCCTGGAGGAGGGTTCGGGGTGGAGAAGCAGCGACAACGTGGCATTGAAAGAATCCTCCCACTATGTTACTGAGACCAATAGCCACCATCTCCTAGAGAGAGAGAAAGACGACCGAGAGAGTGAGAGAGAAAAAGAGAAAGAGAGTTTGAAAGAGAGGGGGGAGATTAGAGGAATGCAGAGGCCAGAGGATACACTAATGACTATCCTTTGGCCACCACAAGTAAATAAGACCTAGTGCTTATTCAGTGGTATATTCAGTATTTTGTTCACTGCTCCTGGTGTACTTCTCCTTCATACTTGACTGAGCAGAACGTGTCGGACATTAAACATTCAGGACCAGAGAGCTGTAAGCTGGTACAGTCACTGTGTGTTCCCTGCCTGTCTCACTCCTTCAGAGCAAAACAACCCCAAGAGCATGCCTCTGATGGGGTGTGTGTGTGTGTGTGTGTGTGTGTGTGTGTGTGTGTGTGTGTGTGTGTGTGTGTGTGTGTGTGTGTGTGCGTGCGTGCGTGCATGTCCCACCTGGTTGCTGTCCACTTTGTAGCTGTGTTTTTGGGCGAAGATTTTGCCCAAGGAGATGTTAACGGCATATCCCACTATGCCTATTGCGAACGAATCACCAACTACCGAACTCCACAGACTGCTGTTAGGTGAACTGGGAGGCTGTAGTCTAAGGATAGAGAGGAAAGGGGGGGAGAAGAGAGGAGTGGGGAGAAAGGGAGTGGAAGAGAAGGAGAGGGAGACAGGAGAGAGACAGAGGGGAAGGAGGGATAGAGAATAATTATGTGGGTCAAGGACAGCGATATCTAGTGAATTTCCAAACGGTCCTGTCTTCAACACTGTAAAAATGTATCTCATTGATTACTGCGTCTGTCCAGACCCTTCCTCCTTCTTCAACACATCCCCTTGATTACTGCCGCTGGTAACAAGTGTTGAAACATGTACACAAACAAATAATCACTTTGGGGTTTAATTGTGTATCAATGCACAGGCTATGTTATGATGGCTCAAAGCAACCTAAATGATAAACAAAGTGATAAAGGACATGTAGGCTACCTGAGGTAAAGCATTGTTATGAAGAAAATGATTTGAAACTTGAAAGAATTAAATGATCAATTTAAACTGGTGACAACATGATCAAGCTTATGAATACTGTCTCCTCCATTCAAATAAGCTGCAAACAACAGTTGATATTGAGCAGTAGCAGTACCCACGTCTTACTGTAGCTTTTTTCTTTGGCAGTTCTTCAATCTGAAGACCATACAGAATCAGCTAAAACACATGTCCAGAACTGGCTTACCAAATCTTGATGACACAGGTTGACATTTACTGGCTGTTGATAATTGTTTCACTGTCATCACACTTCTCTCTGCTCACTGTATCTGTGTGTTTCCTTATCTGACTTTGACATTTTTATCTATAGGATGACTCTTTCCCAATGAGCTACTGTACACTCTGACCATATCACCTTCCGCTATCATCCCTCTTCCTCCCCTGTGGACTCAACTGATCTTAGAACTCCCACTCATAAACACTCACCCTCTGGGGATCTTTCCGATGACGGCCACTTTGTATTGGCTGTTCAGTTTGCAGTAGTAAGAGATGAGTGTCGCTCCTATAATCTGTAACACACACATAGACACACATAAATTACCATGCTCGCAAAAACACAACATCGCCTGACCCGTTGTATGCATGTGTATTTGTGAGTAAATCATTATTTCAGACCCTGTGTGGCTTTGCTGTGTTTGGAATCCATGCACAAATACAGGCCAACTATTTATAATATAATATGCCATTTAGCAGACGCTTTTATCCAAAGCGTCTTACAGTCACGTGTGCATACATTTTTGTGTATGGGTGGTCCCGGGGATCGAACCCACTACCCTGGCGTTACAAGAGCCATGCTCTACGAGCTGAGCTACAGAGGACCACATTTAAAATAACTAATCACTTTACCATATATAATTGGATCAATGTTAATAACTGGGCACACACACATGCACACAGAGAAACACATACACTCCTCTTGATGAAATTACAAAATTATGTGCAAATATGGAACATTAAACCTGAACATGAAACTGAAAATAAGATTAACCACTTTCTGGCCTTACTCTCCAATCAGCCATGGTGACAGGTTGCCCTCTAATGGTATTCAGTAGAACATGTTCAAGAGACCAAAACAGAGAGAGAGAGGAATGACGAGCAAAAGACCTGAGGATGATTGTATGACAAATAAACAGAAACACGCAGAGAGGTGTTAGGTGTAGAGCAGAGTTTCCCAAACTCGGTCCCGGGCCCGCTCCTGGTTGCACGTTTTGGTTTTTGCCCTAGCACTACACAACTGATTTATATAACCGAGTTTGGTTAACCCTGGTGTAGAGGACTTACCGTTAAGAGTTCTATTGGAATAGGAACAGGCATCTTCTTCTCATAGTAAATGTTGAGTTCTTTGACCACTATGAGGACCGCCAAGGCCACTAGAGTTACCACCACGGCCGCAATGTTAGTCTGTGGCAAATGTCTACAGATATCTATTAGGAGCTAGAGAGAAAGAGAGAGTTACTGCATACATTCAGTAGTTGGAAAACATTTACAACTTTTGAATGTGTGAATCATCTGTTTGTGTGTGTGGATGTGTTGTGTGCACTCACATAGATCTGAGACAGTGGTCCGGTGAAGCGTCCAGTGATGATCCCAAAGAGGCTTGGGAGTTGGGAAAGTACCACCTGTATACCTGCTCCTGTCATGTAACCACGTACCAGGGGATCCGACAGGAATGTCACCATGAAACCAAACCTCACCATGCCCAGCAGAAACAGAAAGATCCCACTCAGTAGAGTGGTGCTGGCTGCTATCTGTACTCTGTAGGCATCGCGGGCTGCTACATTTAGAAATGCAGTCCCATTGGTTCCATTTAGAAACGTGAAGTCACTGTTTGGGGCAAGCCTCTCTGTCGTGGTGCCTATCATGATGCTGGTCACAGCAAATGTGCCTGAGGGAACACACACACATTACACACACACACCATCATATTAGTGAAATCGTTAGCATATTCCTTTGACCTAATGATATTAAAACATTAAAACTCTCTCTTTCTCCTTCCCCCTTTTCCACACTCTGTCTTGCCTACGGAGATGTGTTTGGAGGTGCCAAAGATGCAGTAGACGAGTACAGGGTAGAAGGAAGTGTAGAGGCCATACACTGGGGGCACAGAGGCCAGGAGAGCATAGGCCAAACCTGGGGAAACGTTACAGAAATGTCAGTCTTCGTAGTCTTCACAAAATAGATAGACAGTTATCATATAGTATTCTCAGGTAGGTCATGCAGCTATCAGGAGTTGAACAGCCCAAAGAGATGCAACACTAACTTGAGATCAACTTGTGTAAATCAGGCTTTCACATACCTCAATCATTGGTATCAATGAAAGATTTGCATGTGGTTACATGCAGTGGCTTAAAGTAACTAAATAGAAATACTTGTGTGTGATGTAAAGTACTTAATAAAATACTTTTAAGTACTACTTAAGGAGTTTATTTGGGTAAGCCTATCTGTAGTTTAATATGTATTTATTTTTAAATGACTTCCTTTGATCTGGTGAACTCACTAAACACAACTGCTTCATTTGTAAATTATGTCTGATTGTTGGAGTTTTTTTTAATGGTGCTGTCTGGTTGGCTCAATATAAGGTATTTGATTCATAGCATTTAACTATACTTTTACTCAAGTATAACAATTGAGTACTTTTCCCACCACTGTACTTATGGTAAGTACATTTTTAAATAAATAGTTTTAGACTTTTACTCAAGTAGTATTTTACTGGTTAACTTTCACTTTTACTTGAGTCATTTTCTATACATTTTAGTCAGGTATGACTATTTAGTACTTTTCCCACCATGTGTTGTCGATTTCAAGTTAGGATTGGGCCATGTGTGTGTGTTCAAACAGTAGAGGTACTACAGACCCATAGGCAGGTGCATGATGCCAACGCTTAAGCCAGCTATGAGGTCTCCCAGTGCATCTTGTCTCACTGAGTAACGAGGCAGCCATGACAGGATAGGTATAAAGCTCAGCACAGTTTGTTTCAGCTTGGGCACTGAACAGCTGAGACCAGGGGGAAGGGTTGGAGTGGTGGAGAGGTGGAGAGTTGGAGAGGTGGAGAAAAGAAGAATACATTTTTGTTATACATTTATGACAGTGGATATGTGTTTGCTGTGTGTTGCAGTTGGTGGATAGGGCATGCAGGCAACTCGGCTCCTGGAGTACCACAGTGGGTGCAGGGTTTTGTTCCATTCCAGCTCTACCAAATCTAATTAAACTAACCGGGAGTCTTACAGCTAGGCTGGAACATAAGCCAGCACACACTGTGGCCATTCAGGACCAGGTTTCGTCTACTTTAGTTGCACATAGAGCCTGGTACTACTGTGCCATAAAGTGGGCATTGATAGGGCTGTAGGTAAAATTGAGGCGGGAGAGGGAGTAAGCTTACACAGGATTTTGAAAAAAGGGCGAAAATCTGCAATTAAAATGTTCTATCACATTGACCATATATTTTGGGGAAGCACAATTGATTCTGAGTTTGAGCATATCAAACTATTTATAAGATGTGTACGTTCACATTTTCTGAAATCACTTGCGGTTTGAAGTCCACAATGTAAGGGGGAGGTCGGCCAAATGGTATTATTTGGCACCCAAAATTGTCTTATGTCATTGGACACAAAAGACTGTAAAAACACCAGGAAATCAGCTCCAAGTTATCTTAATTTTTGAAATCTGTTCCCAGGTATTCCCACGGATAATAGAGAGACGTGATCATATAAAAATGCAAGAAAGGTTTGAAATTATTATGTTTTAGTCTAATAGTACACTGCTCAAAAAAATAAAGGGAACACTAAAATAACACATCCTAGATCTGAATGAATGAAATAATGTTATTAAATACTTTTTTCTTTACATAGTTGAATGTGCTGACAACAAAATCACACAAAAATGATCAATGGAAATCAAATTTATCAACCCATGGAGGTCTGGATTTGGAGTCACACTCAAAATTTAAGTGGAAAACCACACTACAGACTGATCCAACTTTGATGTAATGTCCTTAAAACAAGTCAAAATGAGGCTCAGTAGTGTGTGTGGCCTCCACGTGCCTGTATGACCTCCCTACAACGTCTGGGCATGCTCCTGATGAGGTGGCGGATGGTCTCCTGAGGGATCTCCTCCCAGACCTGGACTAAAGCATCCGCCAACTCCTGGACAGTCTGTTGGATGGAGCTAGACCTGATGTCCCAGATGTGCTCAATTGGATTCAGGTCTGGGGAATGGGCGGGCCAGTCCATAGCATCAATGCCTTCCTCTTGCAGGAACTGCTGACACACTCCAGCTACATGAGGTCTAGCATTGTCTTGCATTAGGAGGAACCCAGGGCCAACCGCACCAGCATATGGTCTCACAAGGGGTCTGAGGATCTCATCTCGGTACCTAATGGCAGTCAGGCTACCTCTGGTGAGCACATGGAGGGCTGTGCGGCCCCCCAAAGAAATGCCACCCCACACCATGACTGACCCACAGCAAAACCGGTCATGCTGGAGGAAGTTGCAGGCAGCAGAATGTTCTCCACGGCGTCTCCAGACTCTGTCACGTCTGTCACATGTGCTCAGTGTAAACCTGCTTTCATCTGTGAAGAGCACAGGGCGCCAGTGGCGAATTTGCCAATCTTGGTGTTCTCTGGCAAATGCCAAACGTCCTGCACGGTGTTAGGCTGTAAGCCCAACACCCACCTGTGGACATCGGGCCCTCATACCACCCTCATGGAGTCTGTTTCTGACCGTTTGAGCAGACACATGCACATTTGTGGCCTGCTGGAGGTCATTTTGCAGGGCTCTGTCAGTGCTCCTCCTGCTCCTCCTTGCACAAAGGCAGAGGTAGCGGTCCTGCTGCTGGGTTGTTGCCCTCCTACGGCCTCCTCCACGTCTCCTGATGTACTGGCCTGTCTCCTGGTAGCGCCTCCATGCTCTGGACACTACGCTGACAGACACAGCAAACCTTCTTGCCACAGCTTGCATTGATGTGCCATCCTGGATGAGCTGCACTACCTGAGCCACTTGTGTGGGTTGTAGACTCCGTCTCATGCTACCACTAGAGTGAAAGCACCGCCAGCATTCAAAAGTGACCAAAACATCAGCCAGGAAGCATAGGAACTGAGAAGTGGTCTGTGGTCACCACCTGCAGAACCACTCCTTTATTGGGGTTGTCTTGCTAATTGGCTATAATTTCCACCTGTTGTCTATTCCATTTGCACAACAGCATGTGAAATGTATTGTCAATCAGTGTTGCTTCCTAAGTGGACAGTTTGATTTCACAGAAGTGTGATTGACTTGGAGTTACATTGTGTTGTTTAAGTGTTCCCTTAATTTTTTTGAGCAGTGTATATCTGTTTGTCATTCTTGCAGTCAAATTGATTTGTAATTATGTTACAGACTCCTGACCATACTCTCAAATAAAAATCGGCTTGAATCTAGCTGATGATCCCTGTTCTAAGGGATGCACTACATGGTGATGAACTTAGATATCAGCCAATTAAAACCAGGGACTGTTTTTGCAGCTCCTGCCACAGACTCCCGGTCAAGTCCCGTTTAGAGGCATTGTGAAACCAGACGTCTTGACAGAGGAAGAGCCGGCTCGTGGGCGAGACTATTACTTTTTTAATACAGTAAATAGCCAAAGTTAATGCTATCTTACAAACTAATGTAACAGTATTTATTAGTGTGCTTGCTGAAGGCAAGAACCCTCTAGATTTCTTACATACTCATGTTATTAGGTGTGCTTGCTGAAAGCAAAGCACAACTCTAGATTACTCCCATAGTTTTATTATTCTAAATAAAGGTTGATTTGCTACCACACCCACAACGGAAGCAAAATAATGTTGGATCGCATTAGCGGAAACCAAGACTGTTCTCGGGGCAGGCCTGGTTGTAGCTAGATATGTTCAAGTCACGTCTGGGACAATTTTAGCATTTTAGCTAACCCTAACCGGGGTAGCTTTTCCTAACCTTAACCTAATTCTCCTAACCTGCCACATGAATTCTCCTAACCTACCACGTTAATTATTCTAATCTGCTGCATAAGTTACCCTAACAAAAAGTCACTTCTGCTAGTCAAAACTGGCAGACCTGGCCTGAGAACAGTCTTGGTTTCCACTAATGCGATACAGCCACAATCATGGCCTCGGATTTGCAGGTGGACACGTTAGAACAGACTCAGAAATGCTAAAAAGCTAATGTTTAGTGTAATTTTGGGTGAAACCAGCAACTGACAGTAAAAACACGACTTCTCAACACAGAGGTTGAAACATTCATAACCGATGGGCACTACATCAACGTACAAATTGTTTTGCAATCTCGGGAGAAAATAGAATGTCTACGTTGCACAGTAATATTGCCATCGCTAACATATCTTATAGTTTATTTTATGTATGAGGAGACTCTTCGTGATTCCTTAGTAAAAAGGAGTTATGAAATCTGAAGACATATTACATTAACCGAGACACATTAAACCGATCATACAGTATTCACTCTTTCAAACATTAAATGTGCAATATGCAGAAATCGCTCCGCCATTTCCTGGTTACTAAAATTCTAATAGTTCGCCTAAGTTCAGTTTATGTGGCAAAATAAACAATGTACAGTGTCTTGCAAAAGTATTCACCCTCCTTGGCATTTTTCCTATTTTGTTGCCATACAACCTGGAATTAAAATAGATTTTTTGGGGGTTTGTATCTTTTGATTTACACAACATACATACCAATTTGAAGAAGCAAAATAATTTTTGGGGTGAAACAAACAAGAAATAAGACAAAAAAACAGAAAACTTGAGCGTGCATAACTATTCACAAAGTCAATACTTGATAGAGCCACCTTTTGCAGCAATTACAGCTGCAAGTCTCTTGGGGTATGTCTCTATAAGCTTGGTACATTTGGCCACTGGGATTTTTGCCCATTCTTTAAGGCAAAACTGCTCCATCTCCTTCAAGTTGGATGGGTTCCGCTGGTGTTCGATTCCCACGGGGGGCCAGTATAAAAAATAAAAAATAAAAATACATTCATATATATGTATTCACTAACTGTAAGTCGCTCTGGATAAGAGCGTCTGCTAAATGACTAAAATGTAAATGTAAAAATGACTGACGGGGCCGCATTGGAGATGGTGAAAAGCTTAAAGTTCCTGGGCGCACACATCACTGACAATCTGAAATGGTCCACGCACACAGACAGAGTGGTGAAGAAGGCGCAACAGGGCCTCTTCAACCTCAGGAAACTGAATAAATTAGGCTTGGCCCCTAAGACCCTCACAAACTTTTACAGATGCATCATTGAGAGCATCCTGTCAGGCTGTATCACAGCCTGGTACGGCAACTGCACCATCCGCAACCGCATGGCTCACCAGAGGGTGGTGCGGTCAGCCCAACGCATCACCGGGAGCACAATGCCTGCGTTTCAGGACATCTACAGCACCTGTTGTCACAGGAAGGCCAAGAAGATCATCAAGGGCCTCAGCCACCAATGCCACGACCTGTTCACCCCACTATAATTCAGAAAGTGAGGTCAGTACAGGTGCATCAAAGCTGGGACCGAGAGACTTGTATCTCAAGGCCATCAGACTGTTAAATCACTAATCGGCCTCCACCCAGTACCCTGCCCTGAACTTAGTCACTGTCATCACCCGGTTACTCATCCCTGCACCTTAGAGGCTGCTGCCCGATGTACATAGACATGGAACACTGGCCACTTTAATAATGGAACACTGGTCACTTTAATAATGTTTACATACTGTTTTACCCATTTCATATGAGTAGTTACATAGGAGGACTACAGGAAAAGGAGGGCAGAGCACGCCACCATTCACATCAATGGAGCTGTAGTGGAGCAGGTCGAGAGCTTCAAGTTCCTTGGTGTCCACATCACCAACAAACTATAATGGTCCAAACACACTAAGGATGAAAAGATTTTGCATGCGGACTCCAACATTGCTTGTCCTAATATTTATATATGGGGTCGGCAGGTAGCTTAGTGGGTAAGAGCGTTGTGCCAGTAACCGAAAGGTCGCTGGTTCTAATCCCCGAGCCGACTAGGTGAAAAATCTGTCGATGTGCCCTTAAGCAAGGCACAACCCTAATTGCTCCTGTAAGTCGCTCTGGATAAGAGCATCTGCTAAATGATGTATTTCTTAATTCCATTATTTTACTTTTTAGATTTGTTTGCATTGTTGTGTATTGTTAGATGTTACTGCACGGTTGGCGCTAGGAACACAAGCAATTCGCTCGACCCGCAATAATATTTGCTAAATATGTGTATACGACCAATACAATTTCATTTTATTTGATTTTGATTCAATCCATATCGCTGAAGTTCAGTGCTATAGCATAATTGAAATGTAAAGGTAATTTCCTATTGAGCCGACATATGCAGCATTTACCATGAATGCAGTCTCCGCAAACACAGGAACATTGACTTTAAATTTAAATTGCACTATAATGCTGAACTTCTACGATACAGATTGAATCAAGCCCCAAATCAGATCAAACTTAATTTAAAGTTTGATTTGATTTAGTCCTATTCTTTAACTTTGATAAATTAATTATTAACTTGTAGATTAAATGTGAAATCAACCAAAGCTTGAAATCCTAGGCCTATTTTCTATTTTTTTGTTGAATCCTGGGTTGAATTGAATTGATAGCTGTTGAAGACTTAGGCCTAAATAGCATCATTGATGATATTTGATTGATAAAGTTTATTTGCCTTTCATTTGCTCTGTTAAATCTACCCTTTGACATGACTTCGATTGCAATAGTGAATCTATTTACTTTTTAAGTGGAGACCTCTTAACACTCATTCTCACGATAACACATTGTTAATAGTCAGTTACATATATCAAAGCTAAGCATGGCTGGGCTTGGCTTGGTTAAAACAATGGATGGGAGACCAAAGGGATAGCTGTAGATAGATCAAATATCTAGTAGAAGGTGATGTCAAGCCTTATTTTCTTTCTGATAATGTTGTAGATCTGACGTTTCAAACGTACAAATTCAACACATTTTATACAAGGTTTGTCTATGTTAAAAATTGGTTCCCATGCTGATATAATCCTATGGTTGAAATTTCACCCCCATAAAACAACAGTCTACATTGATGCGTTTTTGCAAATCCAATGTATTTTACACAATTCCACATCACAATACGTTGACAAATTACATTGAAACAACATTGATTCAACCAGTTTGTGCCCAATGGGCTGTTACTATCTTACCTGAGGGAATCTTTCACTCGCTCCTTCAGGGGAGGTCTGGTGGAGTGAGTCCGTCTTCTGGCCAACTCGTCCAGAACAAGCTCGTTCATAACATCCCTCTCCACGTAAAACTCCCCAGCCTTCTGCTCTTCAACTCCCATGGCTGTCTTCAACACTGAATGTCTGTGTGTTTATTGCTTATCGTGTCTCTCTCTTTTCTTTCTGTCTATGTCGCTTTGTCTGTCCTTCTAGTCTGAAACAGTGTGTGGAGGAAAAACCTCTTGGTCCAAAACAACAGAGGTCTCACAATTATCAACACACTGTCAAACACCCTGATAAGATTTACAAAAAACAAGAAGCTACTCTATGTTCCAAGCTAGTCTGAGTGTACTCCTGGCTGTGTCTATGTTTGTGTCTCAGTTTGGACCTTCCTGATATCTGGGTGAGGGACACAATCCCTGATATTCTGGTTCTCACAGAGAATTGGCTGAATGATTCGGTCTCGGATAAGGACATTGAGATTTGTGGTTAAAATATCTTCAGGTGTGATATATTGCAAAAAGGGAAAGGAGTGGCTATTTATGTAAAAACAACACACATGGCATCATGTTGTCTAAATATTACTGTTCCCAAGAAAATTTGCTGGTTATAGATAAGCCAAATAAGCCCAAATACACCTTTATTTGTTGCTGGGATTTACCACTGTGATTAGTGAAAACAGAGGATGGATCAACAACATTATAGTTAGTTACAGTATAGGATCTTAATTTGAGCCAGCAAAATAATCCTGCAGCAACAGGAAATGTGAATTATTATGTGGATTGTAATAAATTGACATTTTGGGAAAGAGCACAGTTAGAAAGATATGGCATTTAGAAGCAAACCGGATGGACATCATGAAAATGATCAGAGAGGTTGAGAGTAGAAGAAGTTCAGGAGCAAAAAATAAATAAATAAAAGATATATATATATATATATATATATATATATATATATATATATATATATATATATATATATATATAATATAATTATTGTAAAATTAACTCTGTCCATAAGGTGTAGATAGTAAGTATAGACCGGAAGTAGAGGCCTGGGCATTGTTGTTCACTAATTTACTCCAAGTAGGGAAAGGATGGTGGGGTTGAAAAGTAATAAAGGGGAATATATATATAAAAAAATATATATATATAAAAAAAACATGGGGGATTGGAAGTGATGCAGACAATTACATTGATAGAAGATACAATCTATCTGCAATATTAAGCTGATCCATTCCCCCCAAAATAAAAATAAAAAATAAACAAATAAAATAAATATAAATAAATAAAAAATTATAAAAAAATAAAATAAAATAAAATTTGACATTTTTGTAGGCGTTTCAAAGTGGTAAATACAAGCTTCAGAATACTTTTTAAGCCTCAAATACACTACACGTCTTACATTTTCTGCATTGCAGGAAAGGTGTCCTGCATCAGAGTGATCAAATTGATATTGGTTAATGTAATAACTTTTCTAAATGTAATAACTTTTCAATTTTTTTAGTAATAAAACCGGTTAATATATTAACTTGTCGGTTAACGTAATAAAATGTTGAAAGGTTTATATAATAACTTTTTTTCCGCTAAATGTAATAAGTTATTACATCAACCAGTAGTTATTACCTTAACCAGTGAGTAAAAACTGTTTTGATGAATAATGTTATAACTTCAACAGATCATATAATAAAATACCAAAATCAATGTTTGTATGTACTATTTCCCTCAATTTGATGCACATAACACCACCAACAAACAAATTACTGCACATCATATCGTAATATTCATACATATAGACATTCACAAGCACTCATTGAAATGTAGGCTACACACATGCACAGTCATAGAAACACACACACACCAAAGTAACAGAATACTAATTCACTCATACAAGACACTTAAGCGTGGGTCACCAAACTACCAAACCACATTGAAATGTAGACACACACAAATACACACACACACGCACACACACACACACACACACACACACACACACACACACACACACATACACACACACACACACAAACGCATAGGCGCCTGAGCAATGGAACAAACGGAGCAGCTACATCCCCACTTTCAAAATTAGGGGTGTAAACTTATTTTTGCACCCCCACTTTTTTACCAGAAAAGTATAATTATCCATTGGGTAATTTGTCATTTTCAGTGATTAGTAATGTTTTGAGCTAGTCGTCATTACAATTTTACATATGATATAATAATTAACAAATTGCATTTTTCACCCCTTCCCCCTGACGCCTCAAGATGAATGGTTTTGCCCACTGGAAAGTTTTGCGTCCCTAAATGCTCCACTGTTTTGTTTTGGTTCTGCGCAGTTAGAAAGCACTAGTTGCACTGCTGGTGTTTAAAATGAAAAAGTACCTGCAAAAAAAATACATTGTTATATATATTCACTATGAGCAAATGTTGTCATTTCACTTTGTCTCTAAGAACCATGATGAACACGGGCATGTCTGATTAGGCTTTGCTGTATAGCATAATGTTGCATGATTAGATCTGTGAATTTTTTTTATCTTCAAGCTGTTTACGGCAATTAATACCATTCTGCATTTTGCCATCTATTTTCCCAACATCAATTGGTTAAATCACATTGCTAGAATGTTTCATTCAGTTACAAAAGTAAGTCCTGGCTGAGCCCCATATGGAACCGCACAGTGGCCACTTGGCGGTTACAATGTAACCAAGCTGTATGAGCCTATGCACAAAATGAAAAAGCACAAGATATTTGTACCTCGATAAAACAGCTCTGCTTTGCTTGGTAAGTAATATCAACCAAATAAGTCATTTCTACCCTAGATGGATCAAATATGTATGCTGCTGAGACAGGTTATTAACATTTTCATGGTGAAACTGTGACAGAGCTTAAAATGAAATAAAATGCCATGTTAGAGATAGGGATGGGCATGAGTTGACGGACGACAAAACTCGGTCTTAAACCAGAGATTACACATTTTGAAATTAATTTGCTTTGACTCTAGTGTTCCATAGGCCTACGTGTGCATTTGCAGGGCACAACCAAAAAGAAACCATTCCAAGTTCTTCTCCGTAAATTCCCTTTCCCCTCTGTGTCTCACTCACTCAATTGTGTTCTGACCGCTCCCTCTACACACGTGTCCTGAGTGTGCGCACAAAATCCCAGTAGGCATACAGAAATAAATGCCAAAAAAACTGATCTAACTGATGGGATACACAAGCTACATTCCTTGCCAAACAGATGCTGTGGCCGTAATTCATCACCATGTAGTGTTAAATGTGGAATTGCCCATTTAGAAAATTCCAAAGAACAGGCAGAATAAAATAAATCAAACATCTGTATATAGAAAATAAGACCGATTTTGTTTTGTAACCCTGGAAAAATTGTCTTTCAATTTGCCAAACTGAGTCCCGTTTCAAATTATCACTCTTTGAGATGCACATAACTTTGCACTGGCAACTTTTTTCACTTGGAAAAATATTCTGTTCAATTTTATTCTGTTATATTACATCATGTTCTTTACTATAACATACAGTGGGGGAAAAAAGTATTTAGTCAGCCACCAATTGTGCAAGTTCTCCCACTTAAAAAGATGAGAGAGGCCTGTAATTTTCATCATAGGTACACGTCAACTATGACAGACAAAATGAGAAAAAAAAATCCAGAAAATCACATTGTAGGATTTTTAATGAATTTATTGGCATATGTGGAAAATAAGTATTTGGTCAATAACAAAAATTTCTCAATACTTTGTTATATACCCTTTGTTGGCAATGACACAGGTCAAACGTTTTCTGTAAGTCTTCACAAGGTTTTCACACACTGTTGCTGGTATTTTGGCCCATTCCTCCATGCAGATCTCCTCTAGAGCAGTGATGTTTTGGGGCTGTCGCTGGGCAACACAGACTTTCAACTCCCTCCAAAGATTTTCTATGGGGTTGAGATCTGGAGACTGGCTAGGCCACTCCAGGACCTTGAAATGCTTCTTACGAAGCCACTCCTTCGTTGCCCGGGCGGTGTGTTTGGGATCATTGTCATGCTGAAAGACCCAGCCACGTTTCATCTTCAATGCCCTTGCTGATGGAAGGAGGGTTTCACTCAAAATCTCACGATACATGGCCCCATTCATTCTTTTCTTTACACGGATCAGTCGTCCTGGTCCCTTTGCAGAAAAACAGCCCCAAAGCATGATGTTTCCACCCCCATGCTTCACAGTAGGTATGGTGTTCTTTGGATGCAACTCAGCATTCTTTGTCCTCCAAACATGACGAGTTGAGTTTTTACCAAAAAGTTATATTTTGGTTTCATCTGACCATATGACATTCTCCCAATCCTCTTCTGGATCATCCAAATGCACTTCAGACGGGCCTGGACATGTACTGGCTTAAGCAGGGGGACACGTCTCGCACTGCAGGATTTGAGTCCCTGGCGGCGTAGTGTGTTACTGATGGTTGGCTTTGTTACTTTGGTCCCAGCTCTCTGCAGGTCATTCACTAGGTCCCCCCGTGTGGTTCTGGGATTTTTGCTCACCGTTCTTGTGATCATTTTGACCCCACGGGGTGAGATCTTGCGTGGAGCCCCAGATCGAGGGAGATTATCAGTGGTCTTGTATGTCTTCCATTTCCTAATAATTGCTCCCACAGTTGATTTCTTCAAACCAAGCTGCTTACCTATTGCAGATTCAGTCTTCCCAGCCTGGTGCAGGTCTACAATTTTGTTTTTGGTGTCCTTTGACAGCTCTTTGGTCTTGGCCATTGTGAAGTTTGGAGTGTGACTGTTTGAGGTTGTGGACAGGTGTCTTTTATACTGATAATAAGTTCAAACAGGTGCCATTAATACAGGTAACGAGTGGAGGACAGAGGAGCCTCTTAAAGAAGAAGTTACAGGTCTGTGAGAGCCAGAAATCTTGCTTGTTTGTAGGTGACCAAATACTTATTTTCCACCATAATTTGCAAATAAATTCATTAAAAATCCTACAATGGGATTTTCTGGATTTTTTTTTCTCAATTTGTCTGTCATAGTTGACGTGTACCTATGATGAAAATTACAGGCCTCTCTCATCTTTTTAAGTGGGAGAACTTGCACAATTGGTGGCTGACTAAATACTTTTTTTCCCCACTGTAGGTGTGTCTTGACTGTGATAAGGGTCTGGGAAATAAGGAGCAAAACAAGGCTGGCTATGTCATTGCACAGCCATAGGCTTCTACAAGCAAGCGCCACTGCTGAGGTTACCACCTTTTTGAAGATTGTGTTCCACAATATAATATAACCAGTTGATATTACGGTTTCAATAAATCAATCTTAAATGGCACTTGACTGAATATACAATATATTGAGCAATTTAGCTGTTAGGATGTGTTATCTGTAATGGTTATGAGAAATTAGGCATCGTCGGCACTGTTGGCATATAGATAAATGCACACATAATTTTTTCTGGAATTTTTATTATTTGTTTGAGGACTCCAGTTCAATATAATTTATTGTGGCAGACCTTAAGAAAACAAGTTG